ACTGTGGGAAAGGCAAAGTAGTTATTTTAAGGGCATTCCTGAGTGTTAACAAAAGGAGAATTCCATACAAAGCTGTATGCTGAGAGCTACACTTCCTCTCAAACAAGCAGCTTGATCTTTACTTCTCTTTGATACCCTTCAAAGAGCCAACAGCCAAAAACCAACCAAGCACAACAATTCTGTTTCCTGAAACAACATATTTATATTAGGAGTTGCCTGTTCCTGAAAGTATTTAAAGAAAGGCTAAAAGAAAGTTTGGTCAGTGGGCAAGAGATTTTCAGATGTGCCAAGAAAAGCAGATTACTGTCCACAAGCATTATTTGGAGGCAAGATTGGACACCCTCAGCTATGAGAACCTGGTAGGGTCATGGCTTTGTGAATATCATGAAAAATAAGGAAAAGATGTTTATGATATTCTGGTTGCATTACTATCTGATTTGTCCATAAGCATACTGTTGCTTGCCTGAAGCCCTGATACCTATGAAAGGCTTGTTGGACATTTTTCTTAGCTTGTGGGATGATTTTGTGTTATGTGAACAGATGGCTTCTAACGCCACAAGGTAACACACACACACACACATACACACACATATATTATGGAGCTATTTTATTTTTCAATTTCCTTAATGGATTTTCTTAGATAAGATCAAATGTTGCCTAGAGTAATGGGACAATATGGGAGTGCCACTCTTTGGGCCTGTGGTAAGAAAACCATAAATTAGACATGGAAATTGGACATAAAAACACTGCTTGGGGGAGACAAATTTGGTTCATATTTTGTCTCCCATGCTGAAGATAAAAAGAGATGTCTCATTCTTTGGGTATTTGTTCTCTGCAAATCAAGAAAACATGCCTAGACTAGAGATAGCTTCAGAGTCAGGACCAACTGCATTCATTACAATTTCTTTGGGAAGACATCTGGTAAGATAGCAAAAAGCAGAGACTAAAATTTCATAGGAAGCTATTTAAAAATTATATTATGCAATTTAAAACATCCATATGTTTTGAAAATCTCCTTTATTAAGAATAGTTACTGGAGATTCATTTTAATAATATGAATGTCTCTTTTCTCATGCAGCTGTTTAATTTCTTCTGTGTGGAGGGGGTGAAATCAACATTTTAAATTGCATAATAAAAACATTATGACATCTTAGAAGATTTTAGTTTCTTCTTTTTTCTGCCCTTTGGAAATAATAGCCATTGTGACCTTCGGCAAAATGATTCAGCTTTTTTTCTTTCTGTTATGCATTTCCTTGGGTGGCATGTGGGCATTTCCCTTTCAGCAAGAACAGAGAAAGGTAAGTTCTCCCGTATCATTAAGACACAAGATGTCTGAATGATTCAGCATCCCAAGTATTTTTCCTATGCTAGCAGCTTTCTAAGTTTTTATTTGGTGAGTATGTATCTCTTGTAGGCATGAGAGGTATCCAGATTCTAAGAGTAGCAGGTAGATCTTATGGAGCATTGTGATTCACAGTTCTCTATGCAGATTGGGGCTGGTCTGGGCTGGCCTGGGGTTGGGCTAAAGTGCCCAGAATGATAGGGACAACAGGAAGGACTCAGTTTTGAAGAAAGCAAGGAGGATATACTTCTAAGGCAGAGTCTGTATTTGCAGAAAACCCTGAGAGAAAGCACCATGGGTAACTGAATTTATGTGCTGAGGGTATAAGACATGGACCATGTACACTGGGACAAGCATGAGAAAGGAATTGCGTAGGTCATGAAATGATCCTAAATGAAAGGTAACTCATCTGCCATGTATTCAAGTCTTGGGCAGATTGCCTGTCTTTTGATCTCACAATTCTACCTTTCTGTTAAAGGAAAATATTATGATTTTAGAGTGGTTGTGTTCTAAGCCTTTTGCATTTTAAGTCTGAAAATAGAGACTGTCTTGGATTTTTTTGCAGATTTGTTAGAAGGCCTTGGAGCCTTTTGATTCAAGAAAAATCCTAAAGTATTATTTATTTATGTATTTACAAATGTTTTTATGTCTCTTCAGTCATCTGACTCTACAGCACAGTATGTAACATTAAGGTATGTAACTTTATAGTAATTAACAAATGATCATGATCAAATATATCAAACTAATAAATATGATCAACATAAATCATATTACAGTCATAAAAACCATGATTTCTTTTATGATCAAAAGAACCAGATTTATCCCAAGCTCAGGTGCCTCTCTCATTCTGGCCTTGGTCCCCAAATGCATATTGAAAGAGCCATGTTTTTTTAAAGCTTCCTGAAGTGAGGATATGGTCCTTATATAGAGAGGGCCTTCTACAGAAGGGGAGCTCCTGAAGAGAATGATCCTCTCCAAATCTTCGCTTATTGTACATCTCATGTGGATAGGGATTCTCAGCTGACACTCTCCAAAAGGTTACCTTGGACAAGCAGATTCTATTTGGAGCAAGCAGTCTCAAAGATGACCAGGCTCCAAGCCATATAATGATGATCACCAGCACTTTGAACTGCACCTAGAAACAAACCATAACCAATGCAACTCCTGTTAAATGGTAATACAGGATTGTCCCAGTTAAATGCAAGCCACTTCCACTAGTCACTGCTCCTAAATAGTCTTCAAGGCCTGTCCCAGGTACAGGACATTATAGTAGTCCACCCATGAGGTGATCAGAGTAGTTCTTCTGCTCCAGGAACGGTCATGCAACTGGTATACCAACCAAAGCTGAGCAAATACCCTCCTGGCCAGGAGCTTCTACCTCCTGTTCCAGCAGGAGCTAGAGTGCAGGAACATCCCTTGGGTACCAAGTCTTTCCAGAAGAGTACAACCTCATCCAGAGCTAAAGTTGGTATTGTCCAAAAGTCAGTTGGTTTCTGAGGCCACAGCAACTCCATCTTGCTAGAGCTGAGTCTCAACCTCTTTCTTCCCATCCAGACCCCTATAGCTTTTAGGCTCTGAGATAAGACTTCCATGCATCTCCTGGGCACCCTGGGGTAAAGATGTATCACTGGGTATTATTGATGATACTGAACCCTAAACTGATGGATGAGCTCCTCCAACAGCTTCACGTAGGTATTAAATAAGATGGGAGAGAGGACCAAGCCCTGAGACAACATATACTGATGTCCATGGGCTCAACTCATTTCCCCCATACATACCTAGAACTGCTCCCTTAGGAAGGAACCAAACAACTGAAGAACAATGACCCAATTCTCAACCATCATAGCCAGCTCAGGAGGATACCACACTCAATAGTATCAAAGGCCATCAAACAACCTAGTAGGGCTAGTAGGATTTTGTTCCCCACATGCAAACCTCACCATAGGTCATCAATGAGAGTGACCAATGCAGTTTCAATCCCATGCCTGTGCCTGAACCCTGATTGAAAAGAGTTGAGATAATCTGCTTCTTCTGGATCCTTTTGCAGTAATCAGCCCATCACTTCCTCATAACATTTCCTCAAAAGGGCATTAGAGACTGGGCAATAGTTGTCCAACGTGGCTGGATCTAGGACCAGCCCTTAAGGAGGGGTCACACTAATATCCTCCTCAATCATATTGGCATCTCCCCCTCTTACAATGAGGCATTCACAACCACCCAGATCCAAGTTTTTATCCTATCTCTGGCAGCACATACAAGCCAAGTACTGTAGGACAGGGATCAAGCCCATAGGTGGCAGAGTTTATCTCCTGAAGGACATTATTCACTTTCTAAAGGTACACAGATTCAAACTCTTCCCATATAACACTACTACAGTAGATGTTACCCTTGGTATCTCTCTGGATTGGTATATAGGTAGAGGCCATTTGGGAGAAATTTTGTCAAGCACTTTTGTCATCTCTATATTTTAAAAGTCAACTAGAATAGAATCATATAGAATCTATTCTACATAGAATCACTCCAGGTTGCTGAGAAACTCCCCAAGTGCCATGTGGAAACTAAATGGAAACATCAATCTAATAGATCCCATCTCTCTGTAGAGGTTTATGGCACCAGTCAACTTATAGTCACTAGAAAGTGATTTGTCTGTGACAAGGGTGAAATTCTTGTATCCCCTATTACCAGATCATGTTCCAACTGCTCCATAGTACGAAATAAGTCTAATGTGTAGCCTCCTTTGTGTGTTAGGCCTGTGATGACTTGGGGCAAGCCATGGTGGTCATGAAATCCCAACTAGCCTTAGAACTAGGGACAGCAAGTTGAAATCAACCAGTACTATCAGCTTAGATGTCTCTAATTACATTGCAAGTAGGTTGCTCTAATTATAACTGACAGTCCTCAAATAATATAATTGGGAGCAGGAAGATGTAAATATTTTAGTATTTGTTTATAAACACTAACTTTGGAAAAATTCATAATTGTCATAAATTGCCATCTACAGGAGTGGCAGTGGAGAAGTTGATAATGTTTTATATAAAACTTAACACAAGTTGATAAACAAAGTATTATGGCTTGATGATGGCTGTGATTTCTAAGGCACTGCATTAGAAAACCTGAAATGCTGCTCTTGAGGGTGAACAAAAGCTAGTGAAACGTTTGAAAACCAATTTTCTGTATTACATGGATAACCATAAATTAAGATTTACAAATACAGTAATTGTTTGGCAGCATTAAGTGGCAACAATGTTAGGCAGTAGGATTAGAACATAATTCCAAAGCAATTCTAGAGTCATTTTTCCGCAATAACAGATGAACAGAGAATGTTTATGTGGCATTCTTACCCATGTTTAAGTTAGCCATGGGTCATGGGATTCACCTATTTTGGAGTTTGCATGAGAAATTGAACCATAAGGTAAGCACCACGGTTGGGGGTCATCACACAATATGCAAGGGAAAATGTAGTTAATTGATCTTTGCCATAACTGATCACTGCTATGGCTGATTTCCAGGTGAACCCAGACCCGGAGGTTACTTAATGGCTCAATTGTGGTGTGAGCCTAGAAAAATGGCTGAACTAACCACGGGTAAGCATGTCATCATGCAAAGGCAGCCACTGACGTCAACTTCTGTCCATTTCCCACAGATCCTTCGCAGGAGTCCAGCACCTTTTCAGCGGGAGAAATAGCAAGAGGGGCGGGATTATTTACGAGCCTTTCGATGGCTTTTCCCGCCCAAAGCCCAGGCGTCGTCACCAGGACACCTCCGGGCGGGCTCTCAGGCGACCCGCCTTCCGGCAGGGCGAAACCTTTCAGATCAGCTGAAGGTTATCTCGGGCGGGGCCGATCAGACGGACGCGGGGGGAGCGTGAGAAAGGCGGAGTCGGACCGCGAGAGACCCCACCTCCGGAGGGATGCCAGAACCAGTCAAAAGGGCGCAGCGCGGGCTCCTCTGTTTAGCACGCGGTGGGGGGAGTGTATCAGGGCCTCCGCCGGCGGTTCTTTGTGCCCGCAGCCGCTATGCGGGATTACGACGAGATCATCGCCTTCCTGGGCGAGTGGGGCCCCTTCCAGCGCCTCATCTTCTTCCTGCTCAGCGCCAGCATCATCCCCAACGGCTTCAACGGCATGTCCGCCGTTTTCCTAGCCGGCACCCCCGAGCACCGGTGCCGGGTGCCCGACAGCGCAAACCTGAGCGCCGCGTGGCTCAACGCCAGCATCCCCCTGGAGGAGCGCGGCGGGCGGCAGGTGCGGAGCCAGTGCAGCCGCTACCGCCTCGAGGCCCTCATCAATTTCTCTGCCCGGAACCTGGAGCCCGGCCGCGACGTCGATCTTAGCCAGCTGGGGCAAGAGAAGTGCCTGGACGGCTGGGAGTATAGCCAGGAGGTTTACCTTTCCACGATCGTCACGGAGGTAAGAAAGCGCCCGACCGCTGGCGGCGGGGATGGCGGGGAGAGGGATCGGAGGCTGTGTTCTTCCGGGGGACGGCTGCAAGGCGTCGGAGAGCTGGGTAGCCGGCTGGCGAACCTGGGCAGGAACAGCGGCGAGAGAGTTGCACATGCATCGGCAAGGGCATGTGAAAATGGGAAGCCGCCGAGGCAGAAAATGGAGAAGGTAGGGTCGGGGTGCAAAGGCGAAGGAAGGAGGGGCATTACCGGGGCCATGTTGTACGGGGCTTTCCGAGCAAGAAGATGTCCCTGTCTGTAAAGGACCGCTGGGCTTCTCTTTGCGAGAGAGAACGCCGTTTGTTGCGAAGAAGTGCTTGAGCACGTGGCACGCGTGCGCCTGCGTAGGCACAGTGCAGTATCATGTTTTCAATTCGGCGGCGGCGTTTAATTATTGCCAGGTTCTCTGGAAAGGGGAGACATTTCGGAGCTGAGCCTTTGCGAGATCCTTATTTAACAGAATATCTCTCTAATAATTTGGAAAAGTCCTTCTAGTTAGGACTGGGGAGGCGTTTGTCCTTGCATCGCGCGGCACTTTCACCCCCATTGGGCGTTTTAAATCTTGAAACTAACGGGTTTTCTCTGTCGCTTCTCTTTCATGAGTGCGGGATTTGGAAATAGTGATGCTTGTTTGCGGTTGTGAACAGTGCCCATTTCACTATTAGCGGTTTATGACATTACTCTGCGATCTCTGTGACTGCATTATAAAGTCTGTCTGCATGAATGTGTAGACTTTATCTCATCATGGTGATTGCGGGATGGCGTTATAGAGTAAATACATTTCTATTTACTTGGATATTTAAAATCTCGAAATTACTGTAATTAGCATTTTTCCATCATACATACATGTACACACACACAATATACTCTCTCTCGCTCTCTCGCTCTCTCTCTCTGTATACATACTGTATATATATAATAAAAGAATCGTGTAGCATCTGTTCATATATGTATGATTTGAATACTCCACCCTTTATTAAAAAAATAAATTCCAAACTCGGAAAGTTATTAAAAGCAGCTGTTAAATTATTTTATTCATTCATATATAATGTTAATTTCTCAGGCCATTCCTCACTAACATAACTAGGTGGCTTACAAAAGTTCAAAGCAAATGATTTAGTACTGCCATTAATAATAATAAGGATAAAAAATGGCAGGGCAGGTGGGGAACCACAATAATTAACAATATAATTTCAATGGCAGATTCACACAATGTCTCAGCCCAGTGTCTGTAGGAAGAGCTAGATCATTAAGGCTCTGTTAAAGGACAGCAGAGTTGGGGCCACAACCTCAGGGGGAATACTGTTCCAAAGGGCAGGCACCAGACACAGTGAAATTATTATAATTAAATATCAAGAAATTCAATATGCAGAAAAATAATCAACCATAGATTCAGAGGCCATCAACTGTTTATAAATTTCCAGATGAACAGATAAGTCTTGACTGGACTGACCTTAAAGATGGTATGCCAAAGCCTGAGTACAGTACTATGTCGAAAAGGCCTTATCTCAGGTCACCATTGGTATTTCTAATGATGGGAACAGTTGGGTCTGCAGGAGTGTCAAAATAGCAGTGTGACTGGATAATCTTAGCCTCACCTCTTTAATATTCATCAACCTGTTGCGCTTGCCATTTTGAAGTTGACACACATGCACCTTGTGAACACCCATAGGTAGGACAGTGATTTGGACATGACATTACTCCACGTCCCATTTAAAGTAGAATTTAGTATTTGACATGAAAAGGTTGACCGTTGTCATTGTTAAGCTAAACAAATAAATTTCAGTATTTTGAGTTTCTTTATACACTTGTTTATTGGACCATAACTTAAATAGACAAGGGCAATACAGAAAAGAAATTGCACTGATGTAGGATGTAGTGCTCTCAGCAGGTAGCAGCAGAGTGCGAACTTTGGCTGCTCGCAGAAGTTAAGTAGGGTTTGGTCTAGTCAGTACTTGGATGGGGGTCAGCCTGGGGATTCTAGGGCTGGAAAGTCAAAATGCATGCCAGAAAGAGGCAGTGACAAATCCTTTCTTTCACTCTGCGAAGACAGTGGTGTGGATATAGTCACCAAGAGCTGAGCTCAGCTTAAAAGTTTCTTTATCTTTGTAGGATGCAGTGAGATGTCCAGGGGAGGAGGAGCTTAAATGATTATTTTATCTCCAGATCTCTCAGATCCTTAGGCATAACCTCTTCTGCTGACCTAAGAACATGTGCAGGCTGATAGAAGGAAGGATTCTTCTTTAGATTTCACAAAGAAAAATGGATTTTTAGAAATCAAAATGTTAAGAAAACTCATAAAAGAGTTGTACTAATTGAAATATACTGTTTTGAAAAACAAAGTTTAAAAATCATACCTTGGTCAAATGTTATGGAATTTGCTTGGCAGGTAGTATTCAGCAGGTACTACCACCCCAGTGGCTCTCGTGGCCTTGTACATGGTCTTGAGTTCCCATTGTTTCCTATGGCTGGAACAACCAAATAGTTTTGAGTTTTGTTCTGATGGAACACAGCCAACCCTAAATGTTTAAACAGAACCTGTTGATTGGGGCTGTTGTTTCTTGATCTTGAACAAAACAAATTATCAGTTCCAGATATATTCATACTATCTATCCATTACCCTGCCTGCCCATCGCTATCTTTTTGGGATTCATTATATGTTTAAGCCTCGTCTGATCCAGATTGCTTACATGTACTGGACTAGCAGAAATACTAGAATCTGTTTATTGCTTCATATCTGTTGGCCCCTGAGAGAAAAACCACTCTGATCACTTCCCTTAAAAGCAGAAAAATGACCTGAAAAGTTTTTTTAAAAAAATTGGGGGCAATAAGAGCAGGGACAGCTCTGGGAGATAAACCATTCCTATTCTTATCCCTATCCTCACTCTAAATCCCAGGACCACCACTGACCTGAAAGGCGCCTTTGTGCATAAAGTTTCTTGCCGCCAGAGCATCAAGTCATGTCATGGGGCAGCTGCAGCTTTGTAGCACTTCGTTCTCCCTTTTCTTCTACAGTGCGTGTACAGACGTGTGGAGTAGTAACTGGATGAGCTTCCCCCCCCAACCTGGTGCTCTGTAATGCAGCCCTGGGCTACTACTGTTCCCAGCGTTTGGCCCCTGTGTCATGGCATCTTTGTGCAGTGCACACCTGCTTGTGACAGCCTTGCTAAATATACCCAAAAGGGCTGAAATTCAGTGGTGTGATTTCAGAGTGCCTAGGGTCTTAAATGGGATGTAGTGGGTCTGCATGCAGACCCACATGTTCCCTTCCCCCTCGATTAAACCTTGTGGTCCCAGTCTTAGAATCAGTGTTTCATAATTCTGCCCCTCAGGTCTTATATTTTACACTGATGACTATACTAATTGTCTTCCTAGAAAGCACTACATCTTGGTGAGCCACATATTGAAGTTAATAAGAGGTGGCATGAATGCAGCCACAACATTTTTATCTTCATAATTACTTTTTTAAAGAGATTGCACAGTAGACATTTCTGGAGAGCTCATAATGGGACTTCAAAGTTTCCTGATTGGATTAATGGAAAGGCTGCTAAGTTTCTTCATCTTATTCATACACACACGTGAGACATAAAGAGCTGCAACAGTTCTATATTCACTCACATGTACTGATTGAGAAAGAAAATAGAAGGATTGAGTTTTTCAAAAATTGTTAATTGCTGATGTAATCTTGCTCTGCGTGGGCAGCAAGGCACTCAGTTAAAACTAAAATAATACACAAATCCTGTTTGCCAACCCATTGATCAGAGGGATATATAAATCATCTAGTAGATACATATAATCTTGATGATTTACCATCTTCTATTCTGGTGTTTTAATGCAAAATTATGGGAGTTTTTAAAAAAATCCATTGATAAGATTTGATGAGATTTAAGGGAGTTTTTTAAAATCCAACTCTGCACATTTTTAAAAAGCAACGATAGAAGCAATTATTGTACTGGGTAGGTTGCCAGCTGGAACTCTGGCTCATTTTCTAAGGTGTCATTCAATATCTGGAGACTTCCAGAGCATGTTACTACCTCATACATTATGCGCATGTCACAAGCAATCAAGCTTGATTCAAGGAGTCTACTTTTTTACCTACACCAATGTAGTTATTTGTTTTGACCTAATTTTGATTATGACCATAAATGTTTCAGGAACAAGGAACATACAGAGACAACTAAAGGTGTATAGATTTGTAACCCACAGCTATCCCTATGGTCACAGAAGAAATTGGCAGGTTCAATTTGTATTGACAGTAGAGGTCCCAGCTGCAGTTGCATTATATGCAGTCTGAAGCAGTGATGATAATAATGGGGAAAAATAACACACATGAAAATTAAATTATTTTATTTTATTTAAAGATTTGTATTGCCACCCATCTTAAAACACAACTCTGGGCAGCTCACAACAACAATAAAAACCTTGAACTATAAAACCGTTAAACACAACCAAAACCCGACGCCTCAGTCATCCTCTTGTGATGCCCCAACAACCAACCCAAAACACCCTCACTCTACTCCAGCACCTGGATAAAAAGCCAGGTCTTGATGGCCTTCTGGAAGGCTAAAAGAGTGGGGCCTGCTGAATCGCCAGCAGGAGGCTGTTCCATAAGATAAGGGCAGCCACAGAAAAGGCACACTTCCAAGGTCCCGCTAGATGGCAACATTTTAGGGAGGAGACCTGGAGCATGTTTACCCCATCCAATCTAGTGGGATGGGCAGATATTCTCAGAGAGAAGCAATCTGCAAATAACCTGGTCCCATGCCATGTTGAGCTTTAAAGGTGATAACCAGCACTTTGAACTGCACTGAAATTAATAGCTAAATACATATCAGCCCTTCAAGGTAGATCAGGTCAGCAGATTACAGTAAGTGAATGTTGAAACCTAACAATTTCTCTCTGCCTCATATAATACAAAGAGAAACAAAGCGGGGTAATCTTGAGTTTCTTTCTCACTGCTGCCTCTTT